CCCACGCTTCGAAGATGTTGCAGGTTAAGTGCGGGTTTTCGACGTTATGCTTCGCCATGTGGGTGGATAAGATTGAGGGAGCGAAGACGGAGATGCCTTGTTATGTGCGAGGGTCCACCCAACTTCGATATTCAGAAGTAGGTGCAGTGAGAGGTCTAAATGGTAGTGGCACGGAAAATTGCCGATCACGATGATTTATGTGATGATGGTGGTAAGAAGTGGACTCACCCACTAGCGCCACATGGCTCTCTAGCTGGCATTTTTCCTTGCTTGACAAGGTTTGTTGCAGGTTCATAATTCGTGCCTAGCTTTTCCCCGAGGTTTCGCCTTTAAGAAATCTCACTTTCCACTCCTCTGTGATCATCAAGCAAGGATTATGCCGCCAGTGGCGGCAATTCCTCTAGTACGTAAAGTGTGATCAATATAGTATTTCATACAGAATAATATTAGTAGGTGTCCCTTCCAACTTCCGCTCGTTCCCCACGTTTAATTCCAGTTCAACAACAAATTGGCAAGAAAATACCCTCAGGTAAATTAAAATCAGTGTTCTTAGTGGAAAAAACCGCGGCAAGGATCTTGAATGAAAATGTGCTTGAAATGATATCATCATGTTAAGTCGACAATTTCCCCAGGAAAGAAATGTCCGCTATTTTGCTTCAGCTTTTTTTTCAACCGTCGATCTTTCGATATACCAGCGGCGCGCTTCGTCATACGAATTTGCTCCAATTCAGCCTATCGTGCTCGTAAGTGGGTGACCACGAGCCCTAAATACATTCTACTCACAAGTAGCACCCTCTCCCTGGCGAGGATAGCGGCGGTATCTGCATCCTCTTCATGACTTACATCGACCTTCGCTTTGGGTGATTGAGGAGGGCTGTCTACCGGCAGCGGACTAATCGGAATCTCGACGACCTCGACGCCCTTGTCCGGGGTTTGCGGCGTACGCGGCGCGATCCCGTTAGCTTGGAGCAGTGCTGTGACCGTGTCGAATAAAGTCGTGGATGGGACGGTCATCGCGCAGGTACTCACCGAGCGGGCGGTACTTGAAGACGAACGTGGCGACTGTGCCGAGCAGCTCTTTCTTGAAGAAATAGCGGTGCGCTTTGTCTTGTGCGGGAGGGATCACGTTCTGGTATCTGTATCGAACAAGGTCAGACGGCAGTGACAGCGCCGAGGAGAGAGGGCGCACTTGACGTGGTGGCCCAGCCCCATCTTCGCGCGCTCATGGACAATGGCTGCATTTGGGATGGGAAGCACTGGATTGCCGTATATCTTCGGCGTGCTCTCCGCTTTCGCTTTGATGATGGCGATCCTGATCTCACCCACATCCTGGGGTCCATTTTCCAGGTGGGTATCGTCCTCTGGTGCGTGTCAGCTAGAAACATTCATGCGCAACAATATTAAGCACGAACCTGAGAGCTGAATGGCGCCAAAGACGAAGCCCCTGCATTCCGTTTTCGATATCCGGATGGAGGATGCCGTATGCGGGAGGTACGCCGAAGCGCCTACGTATATGGTACTCTGCACTAGAATGCCATCCAGGTAGACCCTGGCGAGGTAGTCGAACTCATCCACCGCTTTCTTATTGTACGAAACAGAGAACCCCTACAGACCATCACAGGGTAGCGACAAAACAGACGGAAAGGGGGTGCGCTCACCTGATCAGTCTGGGATGCTATCCAGCAGCTCGCTTCATCCCCCGCCACGCTGTGCTCCTCGCCGTACTGCGTCAGCGCCGTGTTGTCAATGCTGATCCACGCCTCGAAGTTGTTGCAAACCATATGTTTCTCGGTCACATCTGCCATGGTAATGAAGCAGTTGCTTGTCGTCGAATAAAATTCACGAACGGATGAAAAGCCGCCGAGAGATACAGTAGGGTGACACTTGCTGTCAAACACAAGTATGTCAGAGACGAAGAAGGGTAGAACGACAGCGAATGTTGATAGGGTGATAAGCCAGGTGTTGGGACTAGTAATATACTTCCGTTGAAAATATCCGTAAATTCACGTGTCATCGCTCCAAGGTTGTGCCACTCCCCAGTATGCCGCCTGCTCCGTTACACGTCCGTTGAGTTGTCATTGAGAGCCTACACAGGACACAGTGCAGTATGTCCTAAATACAAATGCCAAATGCTGAAAGGTTGAATACTGCATCCAATTCTTGAGTGCGAAAATTTAACCCCCAGGGACGCCACATTTCAAACGACACGCGTGCTGCCAGAGTGAATAAAAGCCGCCCACTCACGTCTCAGACGCAGCAGACAGAGTCGACACCACCCATAGGCATCTTGTACCGGTAAGTCACCAGCCGCACACGGGTTCACGGCGCGCAAGCTAACTCCCCAGCGCAGCCCAGCACAAAGCAATTCAGAATGTCCAGCAGCGACCTCCTCGGGCGTTTCCAGCCATACACCCTCGCGCTCTTCGACGCGCGCAGCGCCGGCGGCTTCGCGACGCGCCAGTTCATCACCTTCCCGTCGCGCCGCCGAAAGTTCCGCTTCATTCGATTCCTGCGCAACAAGTGCCACGCGCGGCGCCGCGGGAACTGGGCGAGCATCCCGGGACAGAGTTATGTCACCAAGGCCGTTGAGTACGCAGCGCGCCATGGGTCGTATGTGTACGGCCTCACTGTGAAGGGCGCGCCTACACCACGTGGGTGCCGCCACCATGTCGCGGGAGATGACTCGGACTGCGGGTGCGAGGAGTCGGCGGACGAGAATGTTGCGGAGGAGGATATCCTTTCTGGAGCTGAGGACCTTTGAGCAGGCAAATGTAGATAGCTGTCCTGTTTGAGTGATGAGGTGAATGCATCGATACCAGGGCAACAGATCGTGAACAGCTATGGTTGATTGAAAAAATCCGGATGAATGCAGGTTTGCACGATTTGGCCACACAACAGGGAAATACGCCATATTATCATTAACCTAGTCTATGATACAGATGTACGAATCAGAATTAATACAATCACATACAAATCGCTGACCTTTATAGCGGCAAGATCCCGGAGCTCTTGATGATTCCTTTCCAGCTCTTGAAAACGTATTCTGAGTAGAGGCCGACTTCGCCAAGTGTAGCCTTGATGTTTGATGTAGAATCAAGCAGGGAGTCAAGGAATGCGTATGTAGTGTGTGGGGAAGTTAATTGATGCAATTCTGAAGGTCGTGATTAGTGATATGAAGAAGCCAAAGTGCCCGAGTGACGTACCAGCAGCAGCGTATACAGCTGCTACGGAGGCGCGCTTGGCATACCACTCCAGCTGTAACGGGACATAAACTCGGTGACACGGCGCATTTTGAGAAAGCGCACCTGGAGAGATCTGTCGCCTGTGGTATAACAAGCCCTGTCCGCAATTCTCGCCGCGTGCTCTAGCACTGGTAATGGGTCAACGACGTGGAAACCCGAGGAGGCCATTAAGCCAAAGGCCTATTCGCAATTTATCAGGCGAGTACGAAGAAAATGCAGCAATAACTCACATCAGGAAGATGAGCTAGAACAGGCTCATTGTATTTCAGCCTCGCTCGTAGAACATCTCTTATAGTCGCCTTCTTTGCTGGCGTAGCACCGCCGTTCGCGTCCGAGCTCTCTGAGGCCATGTGCGCTAATCCGTCCTCTAGCCAAGCGTCAATCAGGGTTCGTCGCGCAAAATCTCCCCTTCCAAAGAGAGCGGTTATGGCAGAGTCTGACAGCGGTTCTGCGTGCTGCTCATTCGAAGGCAATGTGAGCACGGATCGCGACAGAGCTTCGCGCGTGAAGCCATGGGTCTTGACGAGGGGTAGCGCGAGTTTGAGGAGACGTGAGCTGGCTAATGTATTAGTTGAGGAAATATAAAATACAGAAGGCTCGAGATGTACCTCGACTGCGAGGCCATTAATGCCGTGGTAGGGGGAGTTGGGAGAGAAATTGGCGAACGCTGTTCAATTGATAAATGCGCGCGTATTACGTAATGGGCTGTGCGTGACGACAGCGAGTAGCTCTCCGTGAACTTGATTCTTGAACTCAAACCACGACGGACGGTAGCCTCCATTAATTTGGATCTGCCAACGGAAAGCCACAAGAGCGCCGAATACTATGGTCCGTGGCACAGTCATCCCACAATCTCCTATGATCCTGAGATATCTGAACAGGCACACAGGTCAACAACGCAGGACGCCTCTTCGTCCGCGCGGACACCCTTCGCCCCGCTGGCTGCCGTTGCGCCTCCCGCCGCCGCGACGCAGCCAGTGCCTACCTCTAACGTGGCGATGCCCCCCGAGCTCGAGCAGACGCTCGCCATCATGACCTCTCACCGCGCCGTGCTCGGCTACCTGCTCATCACACGCGGGCCCCACCCACGCATGATCCGCCACTCCGGAATCGTGTTCGACGGCGAGCAAGGAAAGCGCTATGCCGCGGTCGTTGCTCGCATCGTCGAGACGGTTCAGGCTGGCCTTGAGGAGATCCAGGGCGACGACGGGCTGGGGGACGCTGGCGACGAGTCGGATCTGGTGTGTATTTGCTGTGCTGAGCGCCTGGACGTATCTGACTCGGGAACAGGACGAGGTGCGGTTCATGCGGATACGGACTAAGAAACACGAAATTATGATCTCGCCCGGTACGCCATTCGCTGCTGAAACGAACCGACAAACGCTTATGATTTACCCCTAGACGATCGGTATTTGCTAGCTGTCCTCCACGATCCGGGAACATGATCGTTTCGCATTCATTTCTCCTTTACTTTCGTCCACGATACCTTTATTTCTTCCTTGGATATTTCACTTATATAACCCGGCAACACGTTTACATCATCATATCGCCATCAATTCTTCGTGGACGAGCCGAAAGCAGCCTTTCAGCACCCCGCCAGGTTACACTTCATCGCAAGAAATCCTATAGAAGCAGTCACCTGAGTCACCTCCTTCGGAGTTGCTCTCTCTTCACTCCCCATGAGTGCACTGTCGCCTACGTCTCGGCGAATAGGCCTCAGCGCCGAGAGGTGGACGCGCCCGACCACCCTCCTCCACCGCCTGCCTAGCTCAATCGGATAGAGCGTCAGACTCTTATACGGAGTGGCGGGATCAACCAAAGCTTCTGATATCTGAAGGCTGCGAGTTCGACCCTCGCGGTGGGCTAATACGTTAACCATCCGTTCTTTTTACCGCTTTTGCGCACCGCGATCGGGGGAGCGGGACGTATGGTTTAAACTTTACGCCGCCGCGCCGCGAGTCCGATGATCCGCACTTTTTCTTCTGGTTCTCAAACCAGATTATAGATGGGTTGGAGAGGTTTGCGTTTGCCTGAATCCTGATACTGGGTACACCTTATGATATGGGGAAGCAGGAAGTTAAGAAAACGGGGATATCTGTAGTGCTCGATAGATCGGATGATGAAACTGTCGACGCCGCCTCTCAGGCAGGAAACATGGCCCGCCTAGCTCAATCGGATAGAGCGTCAGACTCTTACATAGGCGGTGTACCATCATTCCAATCAGGAATCTGAAGGCTGCGAGTTCGACCCTCGCGGTGGGCTAATAACTTTTCGTCTTTTTTACTATCTTATTACTTCAATCATCCGAGTCAATGCCGTAGTGCGCACGCGGCACCGCCGTCGACGCCGGACGGTTGCTCTGTTCAGCATTGTGGCTTGTCCATATGCCACTGTCCAACGCCCATTCACGCCACGCCATAGCAGAATGTTCTGTCGTTAAATTACCCAGCTGTGATTTGCAGAGTCCACGAGTCTGGTTATACTAGAATTTCACCTAAACCATCTATTAAGACTCGGAAAAGCAACGGGCAGTCCACTGTATCGCTCGAAATAAGTAGCATAATTGCTCTTGGTATTTCAAACTCAAATTGGACTTTGATATTGCCAGGACTCGGACCCCGGCCTATGCATATGGAGAGTCAGAGCACAGTTGCACCCCGATTGACTGACATCTGTTTACTTAGGAGTCTGAAGAAAACTTCTTTTACCCCGTACACAGATTGACGGTGTATGATCAGCGGAAGTTGAGTGGAAATCAAGTGTTTATCGCAGAGCCATCGTAGGGTCCCTTAGCCAACCAACCGCCAACCCATGTCGTATGTAGCCGTTCCAAGTTCCTGTTAAGTGGAGAACCATGTTGTAACATCCCGGACATATTTACTACAGTGCTCAGCAGATTAAGAAGGACCTGGCGCCATAGTCGACGATCAGGACGAGCTGCAAGGGCTGTGTTGAACTTGATCATCTCAAACGATTTTCTGGCCTCCAGCTGGCATCCGGATTCCAGAAACAACAACTTCAAAGTTCTTCTCGGGAGTGTTGTACGGTATTAGATTCATCATTTGTTCATCGCTCCAGCAGATATCAAGTTGCACTTGTCTCCAGTCTACGAGACGCTCTTATATACCTAATTTTGGAAAATGGCGCCCGGTTTTACTCCATTTAAAATCGGTCAAGTTGATCAAAGACTTGATGGCTATTTTCTACTATGACTGTGGAACCACTCACTTGTATTTAAAGTTGCCACCGGGAGCTCGCTCCAATGAACTCTTTCATTCACCAATGATTGTAAACCCTACTTGGCGCCCAGATGAAGACAGTACCACCATTGCCAATGAGCGCGCATGGCTCGCCGGGATGGTCCTCACCGCCGCTACCTATGGCATTGTGTTCAGTCTCTCCATCCTCTCCTTCAAACAACTGTGCAACACGATGAACAAAACCAATTTCAAGCAGAGACTCACGTTCCTAGTTCTGATTTTTGTGATGTTTCTCCTTGCGTCGTTGATTGTCGGCGCAAGTGCCAAAATGACTGAGCTGAGCTTCGTCGACGCACGATTATTCCCCGGAGGCCCTGGTAATTATATATTCTCTTTATAACGCGATTGAATTGATTTATGCCAGTTGATCTACGCAGCGGCTTTTGAAGAGCTGGAAATCACCATGCTTCCTGCCGAAATTGTGAGCGTTGCCTACGTTCTCGCTAGCCTGATATCAGACGGTATTATGGTAGGTTCATGTCAAGATACTGCTCTTGACGGTGCCACAGGAGCGTTAAAATATGTCTTCCTTCCTCAGGTATGGCGGATTATGGTAATATACAAATCTTGCAGATATCCTGTCTGGCTTGTCATGGTCTTTCCTGTCCTTTCATACCTAGGATCAATTAGTGAGGACACCCCCTATTCTTTGTCTATCCATACTGATGCTTCCGTCTAGTTTTGGGTATACTGTGGCTTATACAACTCTCACCAGAAGATCCCAAGTCAATAAAACCATTCAACTTGGGCGCTCCGTTCTACTGGCTCTCGCTCACCAGCAAGCTAGTGATCTCCGCCTTTATCAATGCACGCTTTTGGTATCTGCGCCGCCGCATAACGAGCGCGCTCGGCGCACGCTACGGGCGTCAGTACCTCGGCGTTACAGTGATTTGTGTCGAGTCCGCGCTGATCTACTCTGCGGCTTCTCTGTGCTTCCTCGTCCCGTACGCGCTGAATCGCCCCATACAGCACACGTTCGTACACATGCTCGGTGAGGTCCAGGTGCGTGTCGTGTGCTATTTATGACAGGGCCAGATTTAGCTGAGGCCAGGCGCATGGGCGCTGCAGATCATCGCGCCGCTTTTGATTATGTACCGCATCGCCAGCGGGGAGGCGTGGACGCCGACCACGTCGACGGATCTGCTCGGCACTAATATTTGCAGTAGAGCGGGCAACAATAACCTCGAGACAAAGGAATTTGTAGTGCCGCTTGGCTCGGGGAAAAGGTCCGCTACATCAGAGGACAAGGCACAAGGCTTGCACGAATTTAGAGAAGCTAAGGACTGTATTGACATAGTACTCCCTTCGAAACCTCCACTTCTCGTGGAGCAACATCCAGTAGTCTTGTAGTATATAATAAGCAGATGTCGACACTAGCCAATTACCCATTCGACTTTTATCTCTTAAATCCTCCTATTAATTTTATACACTCAAACTTCCAACTTCGTCGGACATTCCAGTCTTGGAATTTGGACAAGATTTGGGAAAGTGGATGCGTTGAAGAGGGCTTTATTTTACCCGATAATGAAAGAGCGATAATCGCATACTGCTGTGATGTAAGGAAGCGGGGTTGCACAAGATTATAGCAATATAATAGAGGTATATCTTGAGTTGATCTTGAGTGTATGCAAAGCTTGAGCTTGAACCTTTGAAGGCTGAATGATGCAGATGGCATGCTGTCTTCCTTCTTCGAACATTTCCCTGCCTAGCTCAATTCGTAGAGCGTCTGGTACATGCTCCTGAAGATGCGAGTTCAACTCTCGCGGTGGGAAGATATCTTTTTCTCCTTTCATTTGCCTTTCATTTCCTTGAACCTTCTAAGAATCTAAGTTCGGATTCCAAGAGGCTAGAAGCCTAGAACGCCCGCGGCCCGCAGTGACAAGTGTACACTGCGTTGGATTTTGGCATTGCGCACACCGCAGATAACAACCAAAATCTACTGTCCAGACCGATTAAATCATTTCTATCAAATATTAGCGGCGTTCTGCGGGAGGGGGAGTTTGGAAATATTGTGTTGTATAAATTAGTGCTGCTGTATTATTGTACGTTTTTACAGTGTCGGGTATAAAGTAAGATTCTGTACTACAAGTGTCAAGTAGAGGTATGTGAGTGCAAATGAAAGAAACCGTTCGTTCATGTCGGGGGCAGAAACAAACGGAAGGATGGTGAAAGGTGCAAGGGATGTACCATAGCGCTTCAAGCTTCCGAGTCGACATTCTCCACGAACCTGCCTTTCGTAGTAGACTTCGTGGCCGTGCTCTTCTTGCGCCCAAAGAAGCCAAACGACGCCCCGGACTGCGGTGATCCCTTCTTCGACGCCTCACCTGCAGTAGGCGCCACCTCAATATTGGCCTGCGCCGTCTTTTTTTTAGAGCCAGAGGGGAGCGCCCGCTGCATCTCGTCGCCGCTCATCCCTGCGCCGGGCTTCACCTGCTCGAGATCTGCCGCGGGGAGCGGCGCCGCGCCAGCGCTCTTGCCCTTCTTCTTTCCACCGCCGCCGAACCAACCGCGCCCACTCGCGTCCTCAGGGTGCACCGCGTCCGCGCCGGCGGCCTTGATGAACTCCGCGCCGCGGATACGCAGGAACTCCTCGAGCAGCGCGGCGTTGCGCGAGTTCGCCTTGAACATCGCGAGCGCAACGTCGCCCGCTATGGGGATCGTGCCGACGCCCGCGCTCACCGCGTTGTTGAGCAGCATGCGGCGGAGGAGCCACCCGGGGATGTCTGCGCGTCGCGCGGGGCGCACGACGAGGAGGTAGTTGAGCAGTGCGTCGGCGACGTCGCCTGCAAGCGGGATGAGCCCGATGAAGAACGTCCAGCCGACGCGCAGGCCGCAGAGAGAGATTCCCTTGTCGAGGTAGTGCGCACGGCGCTTTACGGATCGCAAAATGCGCGCGTCGCGCTTGGAAAGGCCCGGCGGGAGGTCGCGCTGCGGAATGGGGTTAATGTGCGCAGTAGGTGTGAGCGTCGGATATCGTACCTTGCGCCGTTTCTCTCTCCCTTTATCGTCTGTGTAGAACTCGTACAGCGGGTCTTCAGGCGCATATTTCTCGAGATGCTTTTCGAACAGCTTTTTCCCTGTCTTCTGCAGAATAGAATCCATGGTGATTTCGTCTAGGGATTGCGATGAGAGGTAAACTCGACCGTGAGTGAGTATGTGAAGGAGCTAAGTAATAATGGTGACAGCGATAAGGCTATATAGAGGATAGGGTGGACGCCAAATGATGGAGGCATGGAGCTCATCATCGTCACTGGCGCACCTCCACGACGAGGCGCCGGGCCGGAAGCTGAAAATCTGAATGTGCTTGACGTCATTTATTTTTGGTATCAAAGCCCCTGTAACCCAAAACCCGTCCCGTCAAATGTGTGGGATAAAGAATGGGATCCATTCAAGGCTAGTCACTGTCCAACACTTACATTCGGAAACCCTCAGGTTTACGCGTATTCAAAGACAAAAAATAGTCAGATTCGAGTCAAATTCAAGAGCCCAATATTACAAAATATTTCCCTCCAAGCAGGTTCCTACAGCCTGCATACATCAGCCTACATTCAAAATAGGACGGCCGGAACTCCTTCCTAGCCGTCTAAAACGCGTCTTCAATTATACTGTGAGATCGATGCTATAATTGTCGAACGTCATAGATCTCTCCCTCTTTGGTTCACGCTTCATGGCGAGGCCGACTTCCTCTTCGTCACGGAAATAAATGACTTCCGAGTTATCGTGAGGCAGATAGGCCAAAACGCCAACATCTGATGCGGAAGCTGGAGCAATGCCGTCCGCTATGAGTACATCTGCAATATAGGTAGTCAGTTCGACAACTGGTCAATTCAAATGGAAGACATCGCCGACTTACTAAGGGGACGGTACACGAACTTGAATTTCACAAGTTGCTGGATGGTGTCCGTCTCCCGCCTTCTTCTAGACCTCGACATCTTGACAGCACTCCCTAGCCTGTCCCATTTCTGGTATGAGAAGAGCTCTAAAGATACAGCAGGCCGAGAGGAACTCACTGCGTCCCGTGTACGATGCCTTTCTTAGCGCGCTCCTGGACCCTCAGTGGCGGGAATTCATAGGTGGCGGTCGGCGGGGGGGCAAACTCCCGTAGCCTCAGCTCAGCTACTGCGCACACAATCTCGCCGACATGTGGGGACATAGTCGACAGGAAGTCCTCGTCCTCTAACGAGAAACCACAGCGCCGTCAGCACATCGCTTTACACAAAATCAGACAACGCGCGCTGTGAGCCGACTCGCCTATCAGCTCGCAGTTCGCGAACACATACGGCTTGTACTCGGACGGCGAGACCGTGATCCCGCGGTGCGTTGCGTGTTCGCTGCGCCGGCGCTCGGTCATGCTGTGGGGGTACAGGAATTTCCCTCGCATGCGCACGCCGTCGATGTATAGTTTCGTGCCCGTCGCGAATGCCCTTAACGAATCTTGGTAGCATATCTCGAAGTTCTGGTATCGCTGTCCCGTGAGTACTGGGACAGTGAGCCGGGGGTAGAATGGCACCCACCTTACCCGCCTCCGACGGGATCCAGCAGGACACTTCAGTTCCATCTGCGCTGACGGTCGTTCCGTACTCCGGTAGTCGAATTCCATTTACTTGGACCCACGCGGAGATATGTCCGGCTGCTGGCATTGAACTTGTGTAGCGTAAAGTGGTTGGTAAAGTCAAGGAAGTTTAAGGGGTCAATTTCGCAGAGTACCGTCTGGAAACTTGAGAGCTCTAATTTGAATCAAGAACCACTTGGCTTGCCTATGTTGCGACTAGTATGTTGGACTCGTTGAACTTTGGCTGCACTTGACCGCAGACGCCAAGTAGGATCGAAAATGACGGTATGTGCGATCAACTATGAGCTGACCCCGTCAGACTGGAGGTAGTGTGGAGCAGGAAGGCGGGCGGAAGCAAGGCGGAAGGTAAGCCTCGCACACCAATTGCACACCAAATAATTGCGTGACTGACATGTCGCGAGTCGCGACCTGTCACAATCCTTAATTACTTTTGTGACGATTCTTAGGGGTTTACTCGACTGCCGTGGTGAAGTATGATGATATTCACTCACGTTGAGACCATATTAAAACATTATACTGTATATTATATATCCCACAACGCGACACCAGATCTCAGGCTTCTGTGAGAGTGACGCGAGTTATTTATGTCGTATATTCAGTTTCACTTGCTCAAACCGTAAGGGTAGGTTTGGGGAAATGTCGAATAAATATCGTGCAACATATATCTGCATTGTATCTATAAGTATTCTTAGCGTTAAAAAAAAGAGAGCCTCACCTGTACCGTATGCGGCTCATGACGAAATCCGAACTTCGAACTTCAAAAAATCTCGGCGCAGTGCAATTTCGTAGAGCATTACACCGTGAGGTCGACGAATTGATCAGCAAGCGTCATGGACCTTTCTCTCTTTGGTTCCCGCTTCACAGGGCGACCGCTCAGAGTCGAAGGTTGCGAGTGAGAACTACCATTCTCCTCTTGAACGGTAAGATCAATCACTTCAGATTTATTATGGAGCAGACGAGATGAAACTCTTCTTCCTAGGGGCCCGGTCGGTACGACGCCGTCCGCCTTCAATACGTCTACGTTCAAGATAATTGAATCACAACACAAGCAGCTGAAATTACTGGGGACTTACTCAGTGGTCGGTACTTGAATTCAAATGTCACCAAATGCCGGATATTCGAAACCTCTCGCGTTTTCTTTTTCGACCACCTGTCGATAGCAGAACCCAGCCTGTTGCGTGCAAACGGTAAGCATGACGATCCAAAAGCCTAGAAGCAGATCATAACTCACTGAGTGCCATGCACGATCCCCTTCTTTTCTCGCTCTTGAATTTTCAATGGTGGAAGATCGTAGGGCTTTGCGGTATGAGGCCGCTTGATATAGCCCTTGATTTTGGCTTCGTTAATCACGCAGAGGATCTCCCCAACGTGAGGAGATGTAGTTGAGACAAATTCCTCATCCTCTGGGTTCCATCTGGTTACTGGCTGGAAGATGAACTGAAAAGCACTTGCCTATAAGCTCACAATCTGAGAACACATACGGCCTATATGAGTCAGACGCAATACGAATCCCTCGGTGCGTCGTGAACCCTTGGGGCCGATGTTGCATGGGATGGACCACCCTGCCGCCTGGCAAGAGAACGCCATCCACATAGATTTTCGTCGTTGTGCCAAAGGCCAGTAGGGAGTCCTCGTAGCATATCTCAAAATTCTAGGTCCAACAATCAATTAATGCGGCCCTTTGAAACCCTATAAACGCACCTTTCCAGCCTCGGAGGGAACCCAGCATGAGGCCTTTGTCCCACTTCCGCTGATTTCTGTCGCGTACTCGGGTAATCGAACCCCGTTGACTTGTATCCACGCTGAAAGGTGTCCGACGGTCGGCATAGCTCAGAAGCTGAGGCAGCTTGTTCAATAGAAGAGCGCAGTAGGCGCGGTTGGCGACTCGGAAGAGCCTAGAGGTGGGAACACTGGAAACACTGGAACTCGACAAAACGGTAACGGTGGCAGTCAATCCGAAACGGTGTGACTGAACCACGTTAGTTACAAGTCGCGACTTGTCACGCGCTTAATTTCCACAAAATGTTAGGGGTGTTTTTACCAGGTTTTTACTATTCTACGAGCTATATGGATTTAATTTTAATCACGAAGCTCCACACACAAGCGTTGATTGAACTTAAAAAATCTCCCCAAAAAGACATGTTTTTTTTCCGTTTCGACCAAGTTCTTCTGGGGAACTTTGCTGGACCTTTGATTCGC